AAACTCTTTCTTCTGGAGTTATTTGGGAATAAATAGCCTGGTTGTTTACAAGATATTGTGTTTTGTTCGAATAATTTTTATTATGGTATTTGTACAAAAGCGTATGCTATGAGATTTCACGATCATTCCCTTTGATGAAATAGCGCATGTCGTTCCTAATGAGCTAAGCTTTCCGGTAGTGAACATTTCGTTGGCCAGTCTTAGCCAAATTCGTACCAAGTCTTTGAAATCTGATGTATTTCAGGGAGGGGAATAAAATTACAAACTTTGCATGAATAATGGAAGAGTGTATCGAAGTTTAAAATCGTTTATTTACGATGGCGAAAGTACATTTGTGTAGGTCTAATATCAAAAATTTTTCTCTCTCTATTTCCTGGTCACATCGATAATTTGTATTTAATTGCAAGCAAAAAACTACAAGTATTGCTAGGATATTACTGGTCCGACTAAGATGCAGGCAGTAATCAGGCATTTTTGGAATGTTTTCTATTATTCGTCTGACTTGACCGCGATCATCATTGATTGCTTTGAAGTGTGCGAGTTGCAACTCCTTCTGTGCCCTTCCTCTATGGTGAATCAAACAGACCCGTATTTACGCGGATGGGTGGCAGCTACAAAGTACCTCCATGGTATAAGCATTGACATAAACAGCAAAAGAGAGAAGTAAAGCAAATCATGTGAATGAGTTTTCACACTGCAAATGGCCTCTCACAACAAGAACCAAAGGCAAAACATGTAACTTAACATGCATGATGGTATAGTCGCCAGGTCCCCTACATGGCCACTTACTGTAAAAACCAATGAGACTTGACAATAGGTGGTGAAAGTAGGGACCTGGTGACTGTATACGGTCACCCACATTTGACTCTACCACTCGCCTTTTCAATTTCAAAACATCTGGACATGGTCGTCCGACCATTTCCAAATGTTAGAAGAAGCGATTTGTAGAGTCCAGTTGTACCTAATCAGACTGCATCTTCATGATTTTTCCTTCAAGAAAACTGACATTGTGACTTTCGATCTCTGTTACTGCATAAGTGCATTAATAATACAAACATGGAAACACACTTCAATCGTCTCCAGGTAGTAGCCTGCCACTGCCAGTGTAGTCCTGATCATATCAGCGGCCGGCCGCGGCGGAAGTACATGTACACCACTGCCAAATTTTACCACGTGGACATGTCGACATGAAGAATAGCGCCCTCAATCAGGTTACACTGTCCAATGTAAACAAGGCAAAACAGGATATGTTTAAATAACGTCTTCGTTCCATAACTTGGCTTCTCCCGTTTTAACTCCACACCTAATGTTTTCAAATTTTGCGTAATAATGCATAAATCCAGTCATTGTTATATTTAAAAAAGCTCATGCTGTTGATTGACGATAGCAATATTCTAATATAGTTCAAATATAGACAGTTTTGGTGACTGATGAGACAAACACTTGCGGCTGAACCGAGATTTAGAAAATTCCAAACGTATCTACAGAATGAATGGCGCGTGGACTTATCTCGCTGTTACCGGCCTAGCTAGCTGCGTGCATGCTGAAAGCTTTTACTATCGTTAATCTTGCCTTGTCCTTGAAATAGCGAGGTATTCTACATGTACGCGAGGAAGCATAGTGCATTTATACCCCAAAAGATTAAAAGGTAAGACATTTACATATTGATTTGAGTTCAAAAGCACTGTTGAACGATTGGGTCCGCGTTTTCGTTGCTTTCTCTTGCGGCAATTTTATTTTTCCCTCCAATTTTTGTCTGGCATTTTCACTCATATTGCTGCACTACGTCTGCAGACCTGCCAACATGTTGTAGGCCTACTTCTTTTTAAGTGATGCATTATTGCACAGTAAATTAAAAAATTTTAATGAACTGAAGGTTCATTTAAATATCTTTTAACCTATTGTGTGGTAATGCCTGACCTCAGGAAGGAGCACGGCTAGGTTGGTAGGTCAGTGTGACTGTCATGGTTGTAACTTCACTAACTAAAATGGGGAAGAATTCTATCCATCATCACTCATTTCTACCAACAGTACAGTAATACGTACTGGTCGGCCTAAAAAGGCCAACTTTATCAGGGAAAAGCATTTAGAAAACATTTTTTTCAGACTAGTTTCATTCTTCTAGAATCATTGTAACGAGTGTCAGCATGGTCATTTGAGTTATGTGGATATGAAACTCTTCCTGTCACAGTGAAACAAATTATCAAAATAAATTTTGCAGAAAATTTAGATTTTACACAAATTATGGTGTATGCTTTGCGCAACGTTTTGTATTGTTTAACTGTATACTGAATGGTTCCATTTCTATGCATATTCTTTTGATGTACGAACATATGTAGCTCTTTAGTACTAAGCAGAGGTTTAAATGTACGCAAATCACTGGAGAAATTGTGGTCTTTGAAACAAAACAGATTTATTCACTAAAGTTTTAAATGCAAGATATACATGTATGCTGTACATTCCAAGAGTTTACTCGAACATACGAATAAAAAATTTATAATTGACAAGAGTTCAGTGTTGAAACAGTTCAGATTAAAGAGCTTGTTCCGGAGACGTAAGTCTGCACACCTGTTTTATGTAAAAAAATTATCATTGGCCATTAACACTTTGAAGTCTGATTACACCATCTCCGATTTCACTTTGCTCTCAGGTCAGGCACTCCTTGAAGCTAGACAGATCAACCCTGGAGAAAATGGTATGGGGAGATACTATACATGCCACGTGACTTTTGAACCCAAACAGCCTGTCATTTGCTAGCCTGTCAGTGTACACATCAGAGGCAGCACACAAGCTGTACACTTCTCACACACACTGTAACTGCAGGGTGGAACAGAGCTCTACAGGGGAGCATTAACGTCAGGAATCTCTTCGTTACAAGTATCCCATCTGAAGCAGTCTGTTCCCCTTGAGCATGGATATTATTAATTTGTGGTTGAACGACAAAAGCACCTAGATCTTTTCCACGATGGAAAGCCTTAGGAGAGGTAGCAGACCACAGCCTGACCATGTCATTCAATCCCAGATCAAGCAGCTGGCAGGTTGGTATTTTTCTTTAGCATTTTTTAAAAATGTTTTTTTAAATTTCCAAAATAATAGTTTGAAATTGGAAGGTTGGAGATTGTGAGGGTTCATTCTGGCTGTGCTATAATGATGAACATTTCCTTCCTCTGCACAATTTTTTACAAGGCTTACATGTAAATTCAACCTTTCACAAAATATAACCAGCTCTGTGGACATGAGTCACAAAGCGCCACAGCCTATTTCGAATTACAGACCTTTGACAGAGTCTTGCCCTGAGCAAATCAGTAGGAACCTGAAACCTTTTTACTAATTTACAGTGTCCATTTTTTCTGGCTGCCGAAATGAGCGACATCAACATAAGAACTCAGTTTGTTCTTTCTAATTAACCTGAATCTAATTTCTAATCTAACCTGAAAGAAAATTACTCCAAACGGCCTTATGGCTCATTGCTGCTGAGCAGGTGACAAATCAAGTACAGTGTACATGTACATGCATGCATACTTTCCGTGAAACAAGGGGACTTTCCTTTTTTTAGCACCAACTTTGCAATTTTGTCCGTCAGTGAAATAGCTGTAAGTGATATGTACAATGCGCATGTGTGTAGTGAGGTTCTTTATGTGCATTTTCTTCATGCAGGGTATGATGAATACATGTAGTTGTTATTGCAGGGGTTTCCCATTGAAGGCTTTATGAAGGTGACGGAGAGCAAGGAGTTATGTTTGCTTCTTTTAGGGAAGGGGTGGAGATGTGTAGGAAACTGGTATGAAAGAGCTACCCATGGTTATGACAATTCCATATGTGCCGGTAATGTCACACTATTGTTCTAATGAGAGTGTTTTCAGTAGGTATGAAGACTTGAAGGAATTTTGTATAAATCTGAAAACTATCGCTAATTGACTGAATTATCATTTGTATATTGCCAGCAAATGTACAAAAAGACACACAGACATTTATCAAAGCTAACTAATATAGGCCACCGTGTTGACAACAAGTTAGAGTTACCGGTATTTTTGAGTGGAGTAATTACCTTGTGGAAGGAAAATTTCATAGTAATTCCTCTGTGTTTGTACAGTACCCATAATAACCTTGAAAATAGCTCAAAAAGAAAGGAAGAAAGGCAAACAGCTGTCCACTTAATATCTTTGAAGTCTTGCTGATGTGCATTAAGTGACTCCATCTACAAGTAACCAAAGTATATGTTTTTCGTACAATGTGTCCAATGCATGGAGCATTCAGTTTGTGTTTTGATAACACTCCCCGTAGGCCTTTTCCCACTTGTTTTGCGTAGAAACCCTGAACTCTCTTTGTCCCTAGTCAGTATTTATTGTGACGGACACCTTTGTGGATGCTTCCTTGGTACATGTACATGTGGGTTGCATGAGTGGGGTACAAGTTGTAGACTTTGGCTGAAGGAAATTGATGGTTTTGGAAGTTAATGAGACCACAAAAAAGGCAGTTACTCTTCAATAAGAAATTGAAATTAAATTAAATTTTTCCTTACAAAAGCTTCTCCTGTGAAGTAGGCCTTTAAACACTTGTGATCTCAAATGTCATTTGTGAAGGATGGATGAATTGGAAGCCTATTGTCCATTGAGACATTTGATCTATAATTAAGTGTAAATTTGTTGGGTGTGTATTGGCCAGATCCAAGGGTATAACATCTGGAAGTGGAAGTAAATGAGATTTCTTTAAGCCTGATAATTGGGTTACAGATTTTTGATATTCCAAATTTCACAATTTGTGGGACAGACTGGCTTGAACCATAGAGCTACGGAAGGGTCAACTGCTGCCATGTTGTTTGCCTTGTGCTACTGTGTATATGTACACAGTGGATTTGTGAGATAATAAGGAATTGATTGACTGATATTAATGGTGCAGAAATGCTTGTGTGACAAGCCGCACTGGCTTGCAGTGTGGTGGCATTCATGGATGTGGCACAGGCAAAGCCAAAAGTTAATTGTGGAATGTTTGGAAAAGATTCTATAATGCCATGGGAACACCCACGTATTGTAAGTTCAATTCACGGATGTACAATCACCAGCATATATCTTCATTTATACACAACGAGTACAGTACAGGTGCATGTGGGCCTACAGTACAGGTGCATTACAGGTGCATGTTTGTAGGCCTACTGATTTGCACACATAAAAACTTGATTACTTAGTAATGGGTCTAAAATTCACAGTAAATGTACTTTGGGGCTGGCTTAGACTGAACAGTGACAATGGTTTTGATAAACCCTTCAGCAGATTGTGTAGAGTAACCAAGCGACTGGTAATTTTGACCCCGGACAGAAGTCACAATGTCACACCTTCAGAGCCAGCTAGTCTATGACAGAGCAAACAGAATTGTTTGCCTTCCTCCCCCCCCACGCTAACTTCATAATTGAGACTATGTTGGTGTCTGAAGATGAAAGCCAGGAAATTTTCAACCAACAAGTTTGCTCTCTTCCACACATGCAAACAAGTAAGATAAGATTGTGGGCAAAATGTTCCAGATGATATTGACTTCTTACATACCACTGTGGTATGATTGCAAATTATAATTTACAACAACCGATAAATTTGCCAAGGCCATTATCAAGCAAACATTTGTCAATTTAGTTGGAGTTTTGATGTACATGTGATTAGATTAATCAAATCTGCATATATGTACATTGCTACATTTTATATTGTGGCAAAATCCAGTAAGATCCTTCCTAAAAGACATTTATATTTTCACATAAACTGTATCTTCTCAGCAAGAAGACTATGAAAGGAAGAAGGAGGCAGATAAGCTTATTAAAGGCCTCAAGCAACATGCTAGACAGCAAAGTACTTGCAAAGTCGTGTGTAAGGCTGTAAACTCTTAGTTTTATTGATTTATTGGTGTTAAGTTGTAAACCTGCAGTGTATAGACCTTCCAGAATGGCTGCAGAGAATTTCAACCTGGAGAAACTTTTTGTTTGCTATGAATGCGTTGGATGTACATGTACATGTACACGTAGCATATCATGCAGAGTATACAATGCACATGTGCATGTATGATGCTAAATTGTGCACATGTTAAAACACATGTGTATGGTCCGTACTCATGCCCGCCAAGAATAGAAAGTGTGTCACGTACAGTCTCCACGCATATGTGTGTACACACACGTGTACATTAGGACCTACAGTGCAAAGCAATAATTCTGGAACTTCAGTCCAAAATCAATGACATATTTTTGTGAGAATCCCATGAAAGTGTAAACCAGTATTTTGCCAGAAATGTGTTCCTTTTAAACGACAAGTAACTCCCCACAGCTGTAAATTAAATGTTCCATCACACATTGACAGGCTTCACAATTTGAGCTGCATTATCTATGTACTGGTACATTTCAGAAATTGTTAGTGTTTTGGTGTGGATCATAGAGTTGGATATGTAATGTGGACCCCACTCATTGCCTGAAGTTGGAGATCTATGTACATTGCACCATACGTACCAGTGCAACAAGCCTGGCTGCCAGAAAATGCAAGACTAACATTGGACTGAGAACTATCGTGGAGCCACGTTCAAATTTGAGCCAACTCCCTAGCTGTACAGCTTCCATTTGTGACATTTAGGTACCCTGGGACTTGCCTTTGTCACTGACAAGAACACCATCCCACACAAACATGTTCTCGAAATAAACTGAAGTCGCACACTTAATAGTTTTATACGCATGGATTGTTGCATTATACTGACTAGAAGATAACATGGCCAATGTGATGGAAATAAATCCTTTGAAGATATTTGTGTTTGTGAAATCCAAGATATTGTACAATTTTACAAGGGTCCATGTGACGAAGATCAGTAGATTGCATTCTAAGTTGATTCTGTACAAGAAATAGAAACAAAAAGAGAAGACACTGCTGAAATGTAAGACAAGTTGGTCTGCATGTGTGTTTTGTCTGATCATGCAACAAGTATACATGTATGGAATAAAATACGATAGGAGTTTCTATGATCTACATGTAAGTACATGCCCCCAAGGAAAATAAACAATATCTTCCACATCTGTTGGTTTTTATTGACATCTCTGGTATTCCACCTGCCCAGACATAAAAAGGTTGCTTTGACAGGTGGCCAGCATTAAAAGGCATCACCCAATCCCACTTTATTTTATGGCTATAGTATTATGTGCGCTTGTGTGGGAAGTTAACCAAATTGCAACACAACAGATGTGTAATATGATGTGTAACATTCCGTAAAAGAAACTGTTCTGTTAATGCAAAATTGAAAAGTTTAGGAAAATTCTGTAAAAAATATACTGTACTATGATACACAAATGATACTAGTCCCAGGCATTTATGAATTATGAACCCTCATGCAACAGGAAAAAGGAGCTTACGTGAACATTAGCTTAATACTCTCACTATATACCAGCCTAAGCCAGTGGATCTCATATTTAACTTTCAAAGGAATGTTTTCAAGACAGCCAAGCTAGGCCAAGCCGGTGCTAAAATTATTTCCTGGTACCAGTACGTGATGTCATGAAGATAAAAATTAATACGCAGAAGAGTTGCTCAATGAAATCTTGTGGTAGGCGGCCTCTTTTACTGCAAACTCTTGATATAAAATTGTCTTGTGCCTAGCAAAAGAGCATTTAGGCATTTTTTTTTCCCGCTAGGCAGCAGACAAAAATGCATTAATATATTTAATTTCCTCACTCCGTTACACAGTATGCACTTGTATCACTGGACTGTAAACATGTCGAGCTAATTTTAGAGAAAAAGGATGCGGTCTAAGCTATTCCTTCCAGTAAGGAAAATGAGAACATTCCAGTATCAAGTTCCTCTGAAGGTTCCTCAAAATAGCTTGACATTTTCCGAGGCACAGGCATATTGAAATGAAAAGCAAGTAAGTTAATACCAGTCTTAATTTTGTGTGGAAATCAGGGTGCACTCAAGAGTTCTCTTGGCAGGATATCAACATGTAACCAGATATGTGGTATTTTCTTGTGAATTTTGAGAAAAAAAGTTAAACCTCCAGCCTCACCATTATTAAAAACTTCCCCTGAGAACCATGAAATAATAGCTCCCTGTTGGTCTCATGTATTCAATTCCCCCGTGAAGGAATCTTTAAACTTGATCTGTCTCTGTTTACAGTCCTTCTTGTCTGACACAATAAGTTAATGTGTTTGGCTGGAAAATGGCAAGTGTGCTGTATCATGGCCTATCACACTGTGTACTGTTTGTTCTGTCGGGAGAGTAAACAACTGCATATCTGAAATGGAACAGCTTGGAGTTGAGTTGGGTCTACCACATTTTAGGCACTTCTCCATATGTCACAATGGTGGCTTGTCACAACTTTTGTAACTGCTCGAGATGACTCAAAGAGATGAAATGCTGCATGCAGCCTAAACATTTGGCTAGAAAATCTAAGAAGGCCTCTGCATCATCCGGGGGTTTCCATGGAAACCATGAGGATAATATTCCATATGTTTCCATGGTAGAAGGTAAGCTTCATGAACTGCACTTTTTAATGCATTAAAGTTCTTTGACCTCATTAGCATTGCTATTGTTATAAAACCCTGGCATTCAACAATTGTAGGCACAGAACATGATTTGAGTGTGTTTCTTTTACTAGACAACATTTGTTACATTAAGTATGTCAAATTGCACTACTTTTGGAGTGGCACTCTCTCCTTGTAGGTCACTTTTCAATGTTGCTTGGTAAATGGTAATATGGAGCATTTTGGAATGCAAACAGCTGTTGGGTCCAGCGTACAAAGTCTTCTGGTCGCTGTGTAAAACTTGTGGATTATCTGCCACAGAAAAACTGGGTGAGGTATTAAACCATGCATTTCCGGGCTTTTTTTGTTTGTTTGGAATCTTTCCAAATGCACTCACTCAAATGCACTCAAAACCAGCACTGTGCAGTTGTGAACCAATCTCTCATTCTTTGTATGTAACATACATGTACATACATATGCAAAATACTGTACCTTAAGACCCATATATTATAAAGTAATAAAGGTTGGGCTTTATTAATCTTGGATAGGTCAAAATACTGTTACATGAACTGATAGAATAGTTGGATTTTATTAAATCCATAATGTAATGTATGCAGTTCACTTACAAATTGAAGCAGGAACAGATTCACATGATGTAATGTGCACCGGCTTACATTCATCAATTACCAACTTTTGTTAATGGTGGGTATACATGCACTGCTACTACAGTGTACATGTACCTAGACTGCTACAATATTTATTGCATTAAGTGCTTCTGTAAACTGGACAAGCAAATGCAAAAGCACATTTGACATAATGAAGCACTTGGAGCGTTGCAACGTTGAAATCTAAGGCTGAAGTGCATTTAACTTTTGCAAATTTGCAGCATGGATATTTCTGTGACATTACAAGATTGTGCTTGTGTTTGGTTATGCTCGAAGCATCCCACCTGCAGCTCCACATGCACCAGTGTCCGTGAGACATGATGTACATGTACCACATGTACTACAAACACTCAACTCTTCACTGATCTGCTTGCAGTGCAGGATTTGGTTTGACAGTATGTACATACAGTATGTACATGTTTACTTCAGTTCCCTTCAGGCCTGGTCACTAAGGAAATTGTATTGAATGGGGTCAAGCATGCTCATCGAGAGTCTTTCTCACTTGCAGAAATGTGGATGATTCAACCACCACCTGTTTGCATTTCCTGTGCTTTTTTTTTACCTAATGCACAGCCATTCCATGAAATTTACATTTCGATACCTAGCTTGCTAGACATTTTAACTGATGAATCTGTTGCTAGGACACAAGCACTTAAGTGAATTAATGAATAAATTACATGTGCATCTGCCTTTTGTCCTTTTGTTAATTTATTCCTCCTCAACAAATGAAAAGTTTTTGCAGCAACACATTTTTACACTAAATGGATAGTTACAAGCATTCTACAGCACATGTAGTTCAAATGGCCCAGTAGCTTAGAGTGAAGTGACTCACACATAAAGTAATGCAGGTGTTGCGTGACTGTGTTTGACACTACAAATGTACATGTACAGTAGCTTGTGAAAAATACAGCTTTGTAGATGTACATGTAGATGCAGGATGAGTAGACAAACTGTGGCTTGCCAATGGAAAAGTTTGCAGTAAAGACTATATTCAACTGAACTTTGATAATTTACTACTAATGTCGTAGAGATGTCCAAGTTGTGTCCTGAATACAGCATTGAACTATGAAGCACCAAAAAATTCATAATTGGAGACATTCACTTTGGTTTAATATAGAGCTAGGAAACAGCTTTTAAGTGCTGTGTGCTGAACATCCAATACAGGTAAGCCAAAGACAATACTTGACCCATGTGCAACACCTGTTGGTCAGTGCCCAGTAGGGACCTCCAACTGTTTGACAACTGTAGCCCTAGAAACTGTTGCCTTGACAGCATTAGAGATCAGGTCAACTCAGGACACTACACAGGGTCAGTAAGCCAGGCATATCATGCACTGTGGTTGTACTGTGTGGTTGAAGGTTTCTGCAAATAGGATTTGATATCTGAGCTGTGAGGCTGTCAAACATCCCCTCCCCGTTAGAGATTCTGTCAGTTAAACAGATTTTCCCTCAGTGTTTTTGTAAACTACCACTACATATCCGTAGAGTACAGAAAAAGTTATGTAGCGCAAGACTTTAGTAAGTACATGTATTATTACAAGTGTGAGTGTACACTGGTTCCCCAAATAGTTTGGATTAAGGAAAAAAAAATTGATTGCAAAATATCACAGAGACCTCGCTAGTTAAGTTTATTTTCTTGTTTCTGTCATCTTTTACCTACATGTAAATATATGCAGACTTCTTTGGGTAATTTAGCCCACAAACTCACAAGCCAGACCGTGCAGTTAGGCCAACAGATTTGCAATTCTCTGTACACAATTGAGACACCACGGCCGAGGTGACAAGTAAGGCTCAAAATTCCCCAATCCATCCAAATATTATCTAACCCAGGTGTTGCCTTAAGGTTGCCAAGGTTACTTATGGGTAATTTTGAATGGATTGAGATTGAGCAGGTGTGCGTGTGGAATACCCATTTCCTTTTATACTACTTCATTTGGAGTGTTTTCAACAAACATTACGCCAAGGCAACCAACCAGATCATGAAAATTTGTAGGCCTACCTCAATATTGTGCATGCATTCAGAATTCAACGAATAGAATTGCATGGTTAGGAGACCACATATTATTGCTTTGTCGATCACCCATTGTATAATTTTTTTACACAAGTGAAAGATTTTTAGGTGGTGACTTGTTTCTGATCCCCTGGCCAGGAGGACTTGGGCTGTCAGCTGGAACCAGACAGTTATTATTGCTAAACGATGTACACGTACATGTACAATTGAAACAGTCTTTTGTTTATTGTGACCAATGTCACCATAGACACTGCAGGGCTGCAGCACACATCGCTTTTTAGCCAAAGGAGTTAATAAAATGCTTACTGTAAGAAACTAAGTGCACGTTGGTTAGTGCCAGCACCGATGACAACAGACTATTTTACATTTTAATGTAAAGGTAACATTGTAAAGATTGGAGTTGCAAGGTACTAATATTTAAATGTAACTGACTCAGACTCTAGACATTAATTAAAGAATCATCACTTAGTGACTTCTGATTTATTCATAGACAAAGATGAACATTCCCTCTCCACATGACACCCTGATTTGGTCAAAGCATTTCCACTTGGGAGTACTTGGAACTGGAAGTACAGTACCAGTACTGCATTTCCCTGTCTAACATTTCTAGGGAGAAAGGTTATGTCGTTTTTGAAGGGTGAACCTCTGCATCAAATCACTCCCAGACTACTGGCAGGTTGCCAGTGTTTGGTTTGACACAAGTCTGTAAGAACTTAAAGGGGCATCTAAATTACTTCTGGTACAAAAAGGCACTGTCCATAAGGATGTGTGTGTAACCAGTTTCCAACTGTATCCATGCAGATTGGATATATGGCCTAAGCTTTCCTGTTGTAGAAGTACATATGGTGTTATCAGGTTGGTACCAGACATGCCAATAAAAAAATAAAATGAACAAATCCCCATTTCAAGGATTTAATTTCCTCAATCACCAAATGCTGGTAAGACTATAATATACATGTAGTTGTTAGTGTGGTATATGCATGAATTTTACAAAATTAGCAATCCAAACACGTACCTGGAGCCATAAAAACATCAGTTCATGGACAGTCATGGGGCTGATATTCTGCTGAGCATGCTTTATAGCCACAGAACTGGCTACCTGTGTACACATTACATGGGTAATCAAGGGTGCTGGCTCCATGTCTTGATGTGGCTTTTGTACACAGATTTACTGCCCAAAGGTTTGTGTACAGTCTCTACCACGCTTCAGGGGGTCTGAATTGAGGCCTGTATGGAAGGTGGGAGTGCACATTGTAAAGAGTACCAGGGTAGTTGGCGTCCATCTGTTGGTGGTGTCAGATTTCAGTGGCTCCAGACTGCTACTCGTTACAGTTCTGTGGAAACACAAATACCACATACAGTAATAATGTGCATGCACACACCCATATAAGCTTGGTGCGTTCAGTATTCTTGGTGTTACATGTGTACAGCGCTGACGAGGACCAATGAATGAAATGTAGTTTGAGACCTCATCAGTACTTACTGAGGATTTGAAGAAGATGTGAGCGATTGAATTTCTTGGAATCAACTTCAAGACATGTTATTCAGTGGATTTGATACCATGGTACCAGTGGGAGATCTTACTGGATAATACCAACATGGCTGAATACATACGGAGACAGCTTATAGGTAGGTTGCCCTGTGGGGCTTGTCAAAAGAATTCTCACTGCACGATTCTAGAAGGTACCCATTACTCTTGCAGGGAGTTGGGTACCCAGCACCCTGTAGTTCTGGATGCACTTGCTCTGTGTATGTACATGTACATGTACATGTATACTGCTGGTTCATTAGCGAAATGGCTATGTTCTCTTTCGTGTGTGATTTAATTAATCCTCTACACCTTGCCCATTCAGCCTAACTGGTACTTTATTTACTGAAAATATTTTCATCCTTGCTGTGTGATCAAAGGAGCACATTTCAGATGAATATGTGAACAAATTTAGCCAACAACACCCACATGCTGTCTCTCTTTTCCCTCAGTACAAACTTGGCTGTTGATGAATGATGTAATTCTGTTTATAAACAAATTCTACATGACCATACCAGTAACTCCCGTTATCTGAGTGTACTCTGAACTCATAAATTTTCCAGTCAGCGTTTACATATGTTATGGTTAAACCCACAATAACATGATGTGTACAAAATTCTTCAGCACTACCAACATGTAGTTCAGTACACTTTGTGCCGCGAGTTTTTACCAGGCATTTTTTGGTTACCATGCAAGAAGCCTCTAGTTACATAACATTTTTGATAAGACCAGACAAGTAAATAGATCACGGCCCCATTTTGACACAGATAAGTATCTTAGGTCAAATGCAGGTTGTATTCTGTGCGAATATGACTGGGGAGTCTCCATCTTCAACAACTTGCGCTGTACTCAAATCAAAATCAAAATGAAAAAGCATGTGATATCGTACAAGCAGCATCAAGAACGGAAGCCTTTTGTCTTTGCCTCACCTGAGAAACACAATACTTGTATCAGGTGGGATTTTTCACGAGTTAAAGGTATGTGTGCTAAGAAACTTGTGGTATTCAGTGTACTTGTATGTATGTACAGAGACCTTAGAGCTACATGTACATGTATGCTACCACTGACGCAATAATTGTGTCTACATGTACCGGTAAGTGGAGGACATCTTTGAGATGTATTGGTACATGTCATAGTACATGTACATGTACCTGTGTGTGACATCACATTTGGTTGTTTAATTGTAGTTGTTTGTATGTACAAATTGCAGTGTCAACCAACATCATGGCCAAAGATCGTATAGCGCCGTAAGATTGAAGAACTTCACTGTGAATACGCGTAAAATGTTGTAATCGCATGGGCGCTGTTTGAGCAAGTGATACAACTGCGCAATGCATGTTAATGCACAAGTGCAGGCACACCAGTTTTGTGTGCCTGCACCTGTGCATTAACGTGCATTAATGTGCAGTCGTATCACCTGCTCAAATGGCGCCCATGCGGTGATTACATCTTTGATCATTGCTACTTAAAATTAACACATGTAGCGGTACTGTACATGTACATGTATAGTACATGTATGATATACATGCTTCAACTTTAAGAATTGGCACCCCTTAGCCACTAGTTGTAGTCAATGATCAATTCTTTAATCATTTTTCATCAGCAATGTACAATGTGCCTGAAGTCATACAATACAGTATGCTACATTTACTGTACTTATAATCTGTTAGGCTCATACAGGTACATGTACTTGTAGTTCAGTGTACACATATGCTTGATGGAAAGCATGACAGATGAGAACTGTTAGTATTTCTTTGTGCGCATCTGTGCATATACAGTACATGTACAGTGTGTATGTATGTCAAACTTTCCAATTGTCCCTAATGTCCAGGATGCCAAACTGACTGATGCATCAAAACAAAGACTTGAGTTTGCATATTTCTTATGCAAGCTGAAATAAAATGACTGAAAAAATGACCTCATTCTGTGGGATTCGGTCAAATTTTTGTGTAAATCAAATACATGTATCTGTAATGAAATTTCTAGATGGAGGTGCAGGTGATGAGATCTATCTGTTCCAATGCTGTGCCATTGTATCAAGAGATAACATCACTGATTGGAATGTTAATTTGATGTAATTGTTCATAATTTTGAGTTACAAAAAATATTAGTTGGCTTTGGAGAACACCGCAAATAGAGACTGCAATTTTCAGTTTTTGGGATTGGTGGAATTTTTTTGAAACATTCTGTAGAAGTCTTGATTTTTTTATTATTTTGTTCAGAGTTCTTGCTAAGTTAACTTGGAAGTAGAAGTTTAAATGCATAACAGAGATTCAGGTTTGAAGCAGTTGTGCTATCATTTACTGGTAGGCTCACAAGTGTACACTGATGGATTTGCCAAATGTTGGGTAATAATGTTTCCAGAAACATTTCCCCCGGAAACAATCAAATATGAATCACATCCTGATTGATGAATTGATTGATTTATTGCCTGTGTTCCATTTATTGTTATACAGAGGAGCAGGAGAGAGTACAGACCAAGACATTCACCAACTGGGTGAACTCTCATCTGCGTTCATCCAAGGTAATACATGTTTGCTCTTCTGTGAATAGGTGTGTGTACAAAACTTGCACGCAGCTAGATTGGATTGTTGAAACTTTTGAAGCAGTTATTTACAGGGGTTGTTTTCACATTTCTTTCAAACCACTTTAATTGTGTCTGTTTGAGCTTTGTTTAAGCTGAAAAATTGTGTACTCAGTGTGGCAGAAATGTCATCAGAGTTGGGATAGGGATGGTGAGGCTGTGGGGCAGTATGGTTGGTATGGAGTTGTCAATGTTTAATCAAGTGTGATTATGTATGCAATATTGTAAAATGTGATGCAGTCTAAAGATACAGATTTACAAATTTTTTTTGGGGGGGGGGTGTCAGTTGTCAGGCAAAAGCTAGATTCCGAGTTTTCTTCTCTTGTAAATCTGGCTAATTTTGGATCTGACAGGGTGTCTTTAAACAGGGTGTCTTTAGGCCTCTCTGGCTTATTTTCAGGCACTGTAAAAGAACCTGACTGACATTGTTGTAGTTTTCATGTAAATTCACAATGCCGATCTGGTGAATTTTGATGGCAGTCTATATACACAATGTAATGTGCTCAAACTGTTCATCCCTTAGTCAAAATTATGAACTCTTGAGATATTGCACACATGTACATGTACATGGATTAACAAGGCATTTTTTGATCGAAAGCTTTCCAATATGATCCATGTACTTAAATAACAGAAAAACCGAAGGTTATTTCTTTGTTTGAATGGTTAGAACACTCATTTGAATGTTGCCATTGAATGGATGTATACATGTACAGTGTACATGTATGCAACATGAACTGTCTACATGTATATCGGCGTACATTGTGTATGGCATCAGTGGTGCATTATTAATGTGAGCATAAATCCTTCTTACTCCTACGCGCAGACATGTACATTCATGAATGTGCTATGATACATAGTGCACCAGTAGGTCAAATGCACATTCTAGAAGAATAAGGGAAAGGTTAGAGCTTCTTGGAGCTTGTGTGAGAGGCTCATTATTCCAGGGTCGTTTTGGCACAGAATGAACACTGATAGAATAAGCCTTGAATGTGTGCACTCAGCCTCTGAATCATGTTTACCTGTTCAGTGTGTACTTGGTATTTCTTTGAAATCAGATTTTGACAGCATTATTATCAGTTGATTTTTCTGTACTATTTACCGGGTACATGAGCAAGTACTTCAAAAGGATTGAATGAACTCATGTTAATTTAACAGGAATTTTTATGAACACATTTTTGTGGGATTCACTTTTTACCAGTGCATGTACATGCAGTTAATGCCATTTCAATCTATTTTCTGGAAAAATTCTGTTCAAGTGATTAGGAAAATACTAGCAGTTTTTCAGGCAGATTTGAGAATTTTCATAAAATATAAGTCTTTTTTTTTTTATAATCAAAACCTTTAGCGTAAGCCACTTATTCAAGTGGTTGATCTTTGTGTGGATGTCAAAGATGGCATTGTCTTGCTTACATTACTGGAGGTGCTCTCTGGCGAGACACTGGTAAGCGGATTTCTTTTATCACAGTTTGAGTCTTAACAAATTGACACAGGGATAGATAATGTTTCCCTGGGCCCTGTATGCACCTGGCATTACTCCACCCTAAGCACCAGCACCCATCCTTTATTGCCAGTTAGTGCTGAAGCCTTCTGTTTTACATTGATACTTACATGTACATAAGTGTAGCTGTCCCAAGCTATACCTACCAGTATACCAGTTAGTTAGAAGCTTTCCCAAATTCTCAATTGGCTATTCCCTAACTCAACAATCCAGAGAGATATGCTGAAACTTTAAAAATTATCCTGTGTGAAGTTTGTATTGGTGCAATCAGTGCTTTATGTCACATGATGGTTGTTTTTGTTGGCCCTCAAGTGCTTGGAAGTCCCCAATATTTCTTAGGCCTTAGGCACAGTGCTTACCGTCCCTGTCAGATAATACATGTATAGCTCTGCACATACATGTACTGATGTTAAACCCCAGTGCTTTGTCCACAGCCTTCCTCAGGGTGCACCACTAAAAATAAATTCCCATAGACAGCAGTGATAAAT